TCAATATATGAAGATTCAGGCTGGATGTTTGCACTTGAATTGCCTTTTTTGGAATAATAAATTGGCTGTACAGGTCACAAGTGAACGTCATTAAATCAGAAAGACCTTTTACCACTTCATGTTTTGCAAGAGTCAAAAATTTCCCATCATTGAATAGTTGTACCTTATACATAGCATAGGTACCAAGTGGATGTATTTATCAACTATTTTGCCCTTTCCTCCATTTCGTGTCACCAACACGAAAATTTACTTTTTATGCCCCCACAAAGTGGGCTGCATATAGCGTTGCACTTGTCCTTCCGTCCGGCAGGCAGTCCGTCCGTACGTCCCGAAATCTTGTGAACGCAATTCCTCTTAAACCGGATGGCAGATTTCGCCTAAACTTTCAGGGATGAACAACCTTAATGTGTAGATGGCAGTAAAGGAACGAATTTTTGCTGCGGCCATATTTAAGAGAATTATGGCCCTTTGTTGATTTTTTCACTAAATTCTATATAGAAATTTTGTGAACGCAACTCCTCTTAAACCGGATGGCAGATTTTGCTTAAACTTCCAGGGATGAACAACTTTTATGTGTAAATGGTAGTTAAAAAAGGAATTTTTGCCGCGACCAAATTTAAGAGAATTATGGCCCTTTGTAGATTTTTTTCACTATATACCATATAGAAATTTTGTGAACGCAACTCCTCTTAAACCGGATGGCAGATTTTGCTTAAACTTGCAGGGATGAACAACCTTAATGTGTAGACGGAAGTAAAGGAAGGAATTTTTTCTGCAACCAAATTTAACAGAATTATGGCCCTTTGTTGATTTTTTTCACTATATATATCACATATATGTTGTCAGTGGGGGCATCCGTGTCCTTTAGACACAGTTCTAGTTTCATCTTATTTGATTGTCGTTCTTTCTATCATGACAAGGGAAGTAACACCTATCTGTTTATATTATAAAGTTATGCTGTATTACTCCCCTTCTGTTGGTGCGTAGGAATATGAAAAGAAGTTCGGCTATTTTTAGTAACATTTACGGATTTTTCTATCTGGTTAATGAGAAAGAGTGCTGCTTTATAATATATATATAGTTCAATAAAATCAGCATAGAAAAGAAAGAATATAATTCTGCAAATGTGATTAGCAGACTTACCTGCCCTTGATAGTCTACAAGAATCGCAAGTTTAAAGTAAATACATTTTTACTTATAAAAACAAATTAGGATTATCTGCCCTTTTGAAAAGTTATGGTGTTTTTTCATGACAATAAAAAGTACACCAAGTTTGAAATGAATAATAAGCCATTGTATTTCTGAGACAATGGGTCAAAGACAGAAAATACCGGGTTGCATTTGAATACCAAATATCATGATGCTGTGATGCTACAAAAATTACCACGGACCTTTAATGTCGGAAATTTAACTGAGTCGGTAAACAGGAAGTGGATAAGCAACAGACCTGAAATCGAATCTCACGGTATGGGTTTACATGTCAATGCAGTATGCCAAATATCAAAAGGCTGTGATAAGTAGTTGCTGAGAAAACTGTTACGAAACTGTTCTTCCATTGATAATTAATGTCCAAAATTTAACTATAAAGTAAGTAAACAGGAAGTGGATGAGCGACAGACCTGAAATTAAATACAACGGTATGCGACTACGTGTCGATGCTGTATGCCAAATACCAATGATCATTAATGCCGAAAATTTATCTAAGTCGGTAAACAGGAACTGGATGAGCAACAAACAGTCTGAAATTAAATCCCACAGTGTGGGACTACTTGTCAATGTTGTATGCCAAATATTAAGAAGCTGTGATAAGTAGTTGCTGAGAAAACTGTTGCGAAAATTTACTACCATTGACGATTAATGTCGAAAATTTAACTAAGTCGTTAAACAGGAAGTGAATGAGTGAAAGATCTGAAACAGATCCTACAGTTTGGGACCACATGTCAATACTGTATGCCAAATATTAAGAGGCTGTGATAAGGAGTTGCTGAGAAAACTGTTCTCCCCGCCCGCCCGCCGCCCATCCGACATTAACCGTACTATAACCCGGGTTTGCAGCTGTGCAAACCGTCAAAAAATGGACCTTAACTTAAAGGTTAACTAATGTCTATGTCAATGTTAATGCTGACGAGAGGGTCATGAAGTTACTCAACTTTTTTCTTTGAAAATAGGAGCTAACAATGGGTCAAAGACAGAAAAGGCAGGTTGTGTTTTTATACCAAATATCATTCATGAGGCTAATGTTACGAAAAAACTTTACCATTGACCAAAAATGTGGAAAATTAACTAGCACAGTAAACAGAAAGAGGGTGAGTGACAGACGTGAAATCAAATCCCACAAATCAGATCACACGTTAATGCTGTATGCCAAATATCAAAAGGCTGTGATAAGTAGTTAACTGAAAAAACTGTTACGACAGTTTCCTACTATTGACCATTAATGTTGAAAAATATAATTAAGTCGAAAAACAGGAAGTGGATGAGCGACAGACCTGAAATAGAATCCAAATGTAAATGGGATCACGTGTCAATGATGTATGCCAAAATTCATGAGGCTGTGAAAAGTAGTTACTGAGAAAACTCTTACGAAAATGCTTCCCTGCCCGCCTGCTGCCCGACATTCACCCTTACTATAAATAAGGTTTGCACCTGTGCAACTTGGCCAAAAATTGTACACATTATATCATTGTATAATTTGTTATTCCGTTCATATGTTTTGCATAGGTGGATACTTTAGTTTAAACATATTGTATTTAGCAAATTTACAAGCATGTATCATTTTACATCACAACATATATGTATATAGATTGGAAAACAAGCAAAGCACTTACATTAATTCCTTTCCATTCTGGGAGTTTCCCCTTTATGATTTCACTTTATATGATCAGTACACGTTTAAAATTTCAATATTAATCTAAATTAACAAAATTTTGAAGTATTATTTGGTTTCACTTTTTAATTATTTTTGAGGATACTATAAAATGAAATAAGGACATATTGTTCATTCTTCATATCTAAATATTACAATTATGTTTAAAATACTCTTAATCATAATGTGTACAGTTATAAGTTTAACTTACATAAAATACTGTTTGCGCTAGATTTTTATGAACCAATAACTTCCAGTTCACTTTTCATTTCTTGAACTGTCCATTATCAAATTTAGCGATATCAAAATGACAAGATATATAAAAGATGTATGCCCTACCCCATATGACCAGCCAATTAATGGTCGGGTCATTGTGACTTTTACTAAAAGTCATCAAAGGCCAGTAGGGCCATAATGCAAAGCTCCAAATAAATGTTCAACCAATTTGTTTCAAAATTCTTCAGATTTCAAATTCAATAAGTCTTTTTCCATTTTTTTTCAAAAAGTTTTTAAGTTGTTGGTCGGAAGGGTTATATTTCATGATTTTTTTATATAAAATATATGATGATCAACTACACCGTCTGCAATTTCTATGACTGAAGTAACATATTACAATACTGTGTATAAGCGATGTTGTGGTACGTTATCACTCTGACAAAATATACCACAGTACATAGTAATTTTCATTTGCGTTGGGTTACGACTTTATTCAAATTGAAATAAAATTGATTTATAGTGGTCACAATAACAAAATGATAGTGTACAAAGAAAAACATATAATCTAACTAAAAGATATTTATTTCAAAGCACAAACAGTAAACTTAACAACATTTAAAGAAAACTATTTTGTTTCGCTCATGTTTAGTAGTAATTAAGTAAATGGACACATTGCCGTAAAGAATTATCTGACAAAAATATATGGCAACAAGTCATAATAATATGTAAGATTCAATTAATAATTAACATGTTGTGTGGTATTAAGGATTGATGTTGCAGTATGTATCACGATATCTCTTCTGTCTTACTAATATATAACGCAATAAGGACTATTTTTGCTTATTTTGACCTGTTTTTATTAATTGACATGTATTGCACGCGCTGTTTGTAATGTGTTAATAGGAGTATTTTCTTTGCTCACTTCACAATAATATAATTCTTTTAAATGCATTTTTAAAATTTTCATAAAAATAAGCATAAACAAAATTATCACAAATCGCACTGAATGATATACAAGAAATGTTTGTGAAATATGTATGTCTACCTAATGACAATTTGTTATTTATTACTACTTTGGACTTTAAATGTGCATCACACATGTATTGAAGTTTAATATCAACCAAAGCAAATTTTATAAATCATTTATCTAAGAATACCTTTACTGGATTTATTTGGCTTTTCAAACTGCATGATCACAAATGATGATCCGAGAAATAAGGGGTGGTCACTAAGGTACAGTTGTTGTACTACTCGATAGGTACAAATGGCCTGAGCTCGATCAAAGTTTATTAGATGTTTTAGCATGCCTAAACTACAATGATGATTGGCAAGTCGTTTGAAGTCAACAACATTTACCACTCAGCCACAGACACCATACATATTCAAATTTAAAGCCAAGTAAATAAAAGTCGACGTCAATATGATATTGACCTTTAACCTAGTGACCTCAAAAACATCTGCTGGTCATGACCAATCTCCATAAAATGTTTGAGTTCAAAGGCCAAGGTGTTCTAATGTTATTGACTGGAAAAGGTTTGGTTTATGGATCGACAGACTGACCGACCAACCAATGGACTGAAAGCAATATAACACCTCTCCTCCGAAGGAAGGCAAAATAAAAATTATGTTACAAATGTTGTATTGAGGCCCACCTATAAAGACAAAAATATGAAATGAAAAATGTATAATTGCTTGAATATTTTTCCAGCATAACTTTTAACCACAAAAAAGGTCATAATAGAAATTAATTATACTTTGCCTTTGTTTCAAATCATCTTTGAATCTTTAGTTTTATGTATTCACTAAAGGACATTTTACAAACATGCAATACAGAGTAACATTTATAAAACATTTTAGGTAAAATATGGCAGTCTCAAGAAAGAAAGCATAAAAACAATTTTCATCATCAACAACATCCATGGCATCGGATGAAGATCTTCAAGTTTACTGTGACGAGGAAGGAACTAGACTCCCTGCCCATGGTTACTGCACTGACTGTAAAGAACACATTTGCCATACATGCTTTAAAGCCCATCAGATAAATAGGCTTTCCAAACAGCATACGCTTCTCGATGCAACAAGTATGCCTAAAGTTTTGCAGCAACCCTCAACATCCATTCACACAGGCCTGTCAGATGACTTGACCTTGCCGTGTCGTAAACATCCAAAAGAAATGATCAAGTTCTACTGTAATGATCATACAGAATTTCTCTGCAGTGTTTGTGTTACCCTTGAACATCAAGCTACTTCCTGCAATGTCAACTATATACCAGACATTTCTGGTGATATAATAGACAGCAAAGAGTATCAAGTTATCTTCAAGGCAAGAAATAACACTTCTGACAAATGCCAACAGATTTTAAACGATTTTCTCAAAGAGGCATTAGTTGACATTAAAAAGTTCCGCCAAGAAATCAACCAAAGACTAGATGAACTTGAGAGACAGGTTGAAAATGCATCTAAAGTCATAGAACAAAAAAAACAACAACAAACATCTGAAAGCAGTAGAAGAAATATGTAAAGATATAACCAAATATTTGAAAAAATCATCAGACAAAATCAAACAACTCAACACAACAAAACAAGCTGACAAACTCTTCATTGATTTAAAACTTGCAAAGAAAGTAATCAATGATATGGAGGGAAACCTATTAATACTGTCATCATTCAATATCAAAGAGCACAACTTTCAATCAAATGATGTAATAATAAATGTGTTTAAAACAGAGAAGTCACTGGGTACATTGACACACTTTAAATAAAAGACTGTCAACCTGTACAAATAAAGTCTAGACAATCTTCACATGAGGGAGATATCTGTGTGAAAACATCAAAAGATAAAAGGGAATGCTGTATAACAGGAATGACTCTGCTGACTCCTGAACATCATTGACTGCTATAACAATGCTGTAAAAATGGTTGATATCAGCAGTTAATCTGAGTCTGATCAACTACAACTAGATGAAAGACCATGGGATATCACCACAGTAGCCAGTACTGAACTTGCTGTCATACTACCTTACTTACAAACAATACAGTTTATATCAATCTTCTCAAACAAACTTATAAAGAAGCACACTGTGAAGGTTGATGGAAACTGTAATGGTATAAGCTATTATCAAGGTAAACTTATTGTGTCATTTCTTAATCCTACAAAACTTCAAATCCTTGATGTGAATGGCACTGTACTAACAACTATTGATAGAAAAAATATTTTCAAAGATCCATGCTTTATCATATGTAACAGAAGTTCTATCTATGTATCTGACTGTAGCATGAAGACAGTGACAAGATTAAATTGGCAAGGTGATATGGTAGGTAGTTATAATTGTATAAGAATGCCTAGTGGAATGTCACTGTCAGATGATGGTACTGTGTTTGTGTGTTGTCAGGAGAGAAATGTTATAGAAGATATATCATGAGACTGTTCTTCAGGAAAGGTGGTGCTGAAGGATCTGATTAGACCAAGGGCTGTGTGTTGGTGTGGAAAAACAAAGAAGCTGTATTATAGCTGTTATGCTTGGGGTAAAACACATGGCATCTACGTTCTCATCTATAACCTGTCATAGATCTGAACATAGACTTAGTTAAATTAAATTAAACGATGTAAACAATATAAAATATATCTTAAATAGTAAAAAAAACTTGCATCACCCATTCTTTTGAAAAAATAGCAAGACACATGTTTTCTTCTGTGCTAAGGATGAATGATTTAAGCAATCCCTTTGTTGTATTCTTATATAAGGTTTGGTGAGAAACTAGGAAACTACTAAGAGTCTTGCTTGTAATACATGGAATATCATAAGCACCTCCAGCATTTTAACGCGTGTTCAAGGCAACAGCCATCAATAACCAATGGACATAATTCCTAAATAAATGTTCTCATCGATAATGTCTCTTGTTATACAACTGTGCATTGTAATTACAATCAAGTTTTTAAGTTTCATGTTGTTATTATTCACAGTTTTGAAATCATTCTACTTAATAAGCTATTTTGACAAAGGTAAAAATGAGGAATAACTAAAAATATAGCTTTAAGGAATTAATTGCCCTTCTAATAATGTGCAATCTATCAACTATGCCTTGATTGCAACAACGACTACAATTTAACAATCTAAATAGCTTGAATTTTCTTCACAAAAAAAAGGCAAGCTGAAATGACAACTTTCGGTTGTTTACATTATTAATTTGACTGTAGTAAAAACATCCATCTCTTATTTTAAAAGTACCTTTCTCTGTAATCATCAAATGCACTGTTTACATTTTATATTATAATACCTGCCCTGTTCACAAGATTTTGTACTATTACTATAAACAGATTACATCAATAAAAGTTAGAAAAAGCTGCTTGTTGTTTGTTAAAAATCAATAAGTTGAATCATAATTTAAGAATACTATATGTATATGGGTTTAAAGTATCAGTGACTATGAAGGTATAGTGGAGACAATATACTATATGATAAACAAGAGCGATTAGTGATCACATGAGTCGCCTTATGACAGCCAATTGCATGTTGCAGCTACTGTGTAACAGGCAACACAAAAATCATATACATGGCAAATTTAAGGACCAAAGCTCAGCCAAAACTCCTGTAACTCGAAAACTCGTGTAAAATGCATAAGAAATTGAGCTATCGATCAATCCTGTAAAGTTTCATTGAAATTATATGTGCGGTATAAGAGGAGTAGTCCGGACAACTAGCTGGAAACTCGCTGGATAGCTTCCTCAAAGTCTCTACTGGGATTCGAACCAAAAGCCGTCAGGGGCAATTGGTTTGAAGTTAACAACCCAAACCATTGGGTCACAGACGCACCCGATACATACTTTTAAACTGTTATCAGTATCAGGTCATTATTGTCATCATGACCATGATGAAAGTGAAATATACACTGCACACATATTCAGACGTGTCTCCATACGCAATTATGTAAGATTTACCTGTCTGACTTTTGTCCAACAGGTTTTATTCATATAGCAATATGAGGTTCTTGAACATGTCAGCCCACAAATTTTACTGCCACTTTGTCTTATACAAAAAAGAGTGATTTTCAATATGCAGTCAAACTTGTCAACAAAGGCCATTAATGGAGATAGTGTTAAAGTGGCCTTTTGTTTTGGGGTATAATTATTATGTTTGATGAGCATTTTGAATCCCCCAAATACATTTTTTTTTTATATCATGTTTACTTATATTTTCAGTCATTAGTATAATAGCCAAAAATGCAGGATTTCTGCCGAAGGTACCATAAGATCTAGTTCGAGAGTGTGGGCAATCAGTGTTTGAGTTATACTGTAGTTCTGAAAAGGTCCAGCTGGTATCTCTTGAGAAATGTGCAAGTTAAGAATATACAGTCAAAATTGTGTTAAAGATCATCTCTGTATGAACCTATATTTAGTTTAAGCAGAACAAAGTCACATCAAAATGAAGACCATTTATTTTAAAAGCCAACTGTTTAGTATCCCTATAGGATTATTCCTGCACAGGTTAGACTGTATCTCTATACCTCTTCAGACAAAAAAAAACAAACAAAAAACATTTTACAACAAGGGATGTGTGTGCAACACTTATGCTCTCCCAGTATATATTTTGCTGAAATCTGTTGATCGTTATAGGACTTAAATGTATATCTCTAAATACAGTGCAACCTGTTCACAGTTTTCCTCTTCAAAGCAAATACCATTTTACAATAACAGTATTTAAATTTTTCTAAAATAAGACTGAACACTTAATATACCTTTTCTCGGGCAGCATCTCTCAACAACAACTTACATCTTTGTCTTCAAGAGGTTGTACTGTATTTTATCAATCTCAATCACTTTTGAGATCACACATACACAACCAATTAATCTGAACTATTTGATCATTTATGCGTTTTCATCTCTAGACCATGTCTTAGATTTTTACATGCTTCAGTGATGACTTGAAAGACTGACCAGTATTACTGATAAGCCACTTTCCTACCTCCATGTGTGTACCCAAAAGTGATTGTAATTGATAAAATATTGATTAACATTCAATTTTTTAATGTAAGTCTTACAATTATTCCACCAAAAACCGTAACAATGTAAAGCTGAAAACAATGTTGAAAATACAAGTCGGGAGGTCTAAATCATTCTGTTGTCAATGCTGTAATTGAATGATTTGAAACCGCTTTTATATCATTTTCTCAATACAATTTATATTATGATCCTCCTACTTAGTGAAATCAAGTTTAAACAACAACAACAAAAAAAAAAACATTAAAGAATTTATTTATAATCTAAATAGTTAAAATACTAATTCAAAAACACAACACCTACATTTCATAGACTCTCGCACAATAGGCATTTTATTACCTATATAAATAATTGATAATCGTTAATGTTTAAACTTTAAACTGTACAATGTAATAGTTGTCGTAATCAGGGATGTTAATACCAATATCAAAGTCCACAAATCCAGCATCAACAACAAAGTATTTGCATTTGAAACCTGCGAGAAAAACTAAGGACTTATTTTTCAAGGTACACTATTTTTATTTAATTTCTTAAATGTCTAGAAAAATTACACTCTTATAAAGGCAACAGCATAATTATTGTATTACACCTATTTTAAAAAAGAACTTAAATATACGTATATTTTGATCGTACAAATTCATGAAATTCAAAAACTTCATGACTTGGTAATTTTAAGATCTGTCCGTGGACAGAGCGATCCACTTTTCTCAGTGCCATACGGTTCTGTAAAATCAACATCAAAAGGGTAATAATTCTGCAAATATACTGAAAAGACTAACCTCAGCCCTTGGTACATCATAAATATCAAGTTTGAAGTGAATACCTTTTTTTTAGTTAAAGGCAACATTTTGCTAGGTATCTTAGTTCTTGGGATTGTAGTTTCACAAAATAGGACTGAAATGTGTTTTATCATATAAGATTATATCAACATTAATCCAATTCAGGGACATAATTACTACCTGTCTTGTAGAGGCCAAAAAAGGCAATGCAACATTTCGAATATCTAAACTCTAGGCATTGTAGTCCCAACAAAATAAAAAAATGGGTCAAAGACAGAAAAGGCCGGGTTGCATATGTGTACAAAATATCATAAGGCTGTGATGTTACTTAAATTTTCTACCACTGTTTGACCATTGATGTTGAAAATTTAACTTAGTTAATTGGTAAACCTGAAAATAATGAGCATCAGACCTGAAATGGAATCCCACAATATGGGACCACAGTCATGTCAATGCTTTGAACCACATATCAAGAGGCTGTGGTAAGAAGTTGTTGAGAAAACTGTTAAGAAAATTTCCTACTATCTATTGATCATTAATTATGTCAAAATTTAACTAAATCGGCAAACAGGAAGTGGATGAGCGACAGACCTGAAATCAAATCCCACGATATGATACCATGTGCTGATGCTGTATACCAAATATCAAAAGGCTGTGATAAGTAGTTGCTGAGAAAACTGTTACGAAAATTTCTTACTATTGACCATTAATGTTGAAAATTTAACTAAGTCAGCAAACAGGAAGTAGATGAGCGACAGACCTGAAATTGAATCCCACAGTATGGGACCATGTGTTGATGCTGTACACCAAATATCAAAAGGCTATAATTAGCAGTTGCTGAGAAAACTGTTACGAAAATTTCCTACTATTGACTATTACTGTAGAAAATTTTACTAAGTCAGCAAACAGGAAGTAGATGAGCGACAGACCTGAAATCGAATCCCACAGTATGGGACCATGTGTTGATATTGTATACCAAGTATCAAATGGCTGTAATAAGTAGTTGCTGAGAAAACTGTTACGAAAATTTTTCCCCGCCCGCCCGGCCGCCCGCCGCCCAACATTCACCTTACTATAACCCGGGTTTGCACCAGTGCAACCCGGCCAAAAATGTGTTTTCCTACACAAAATATATCTAAATGACTCCCAGGATGGGTCCAATATTGATTCAAGGGGCGTGATTAATGCGAGTAATTTTGTGATCCACAAAGTGATGTTACATGCCAATTATCTTAGCTGTAGCAATCAAAGTTTAACACAGGTCCAAGGTGTGTTTTTCCTCTTTATAAATAAAGTGACTCTAAGGGTGGGCCAATATTGAATCATGAGCCAGTTTATTAAAGTCAATAGGGCAATGTTACATGCTAAATATCTTGACATTGTAGTTTCACAAAATGGAACATAAATTTGTTTTCCAATACAAGTCCATATAAATCAAGTAATGCTCTGGACGGGACCAATTTTGATCTCAGGAAGCCCGGGCCGAAACACATTATAAGTAACACTTCTGCAAAATAATTTTAATTTCTTTCTATCGGTTCAAAAGATAAAGAGTGGAAACAACTGCGCTAGACTTAGTAACTGGTACATTTGACTTTTAGTAACTCGTGAGCACAACTAAGTAACTCGTGCGCACCGCATTGTATCTCATACGCACAAGATAAATGAAAACGAATATATGTCATCTCTGTGCCACTGTAGTTTAAAACACAGCATGTTTGCTAAATCCTCAAACATTAAACAAATTGTAAACATGTACTTAAAATAATTTACTGATATCTTTCAGATTAAACTTTAAACTTTGCAATATATTATCAGTGTAAATATCAGTATCAAAGTCAACAGGACAATCTGAAGCTTGTAAAACAATTTGAGGATTAATATTTCAAGGTACAATAATTTTATAAAATATCTTACTGTCTACAAAAAAAAACTCTGTATTGCAAAGACAACAACATCATGACTATATCATGCTTTAAAAAAGGATGCTAAATACATAGAGGATATTGAATGAGTGTAAGTTCTATACTGAATTTATTGCACGAGTTGAATAAAATTATATTATGCGAGCCTCTGATAAATTTTGATATAGAGAGGCTTCTGGACTATATCATTTCACATGCCTTTTAAACATATCCATATTTGCAAAAATTGAGCAAATGCTATAATATTGTGTAAATTATTCCTCTTTACATAATTATGTTTTCGCGTGCTCCAGATACCTAAAAAGTATTGTCTATTGTTCATTTCTAAATATTAAAATAATGCAAAATTTTCTTTGAAGAATCATGTGTACAGTTATAAGTTTAATAATATTAATAAAATACTGTTTGCAGTAGATTTTTAGTGGCCCAAAACTGACTAAACATCTAAAATAAACTCTGGTCCATCTTCAATTTGTGAAACTGTCCATTAGCAATTTTGGGAAATAAAGAAAACTGCTGAAAATATTGTGATAGAAAATTGCTGAAAATTTTGTGATAGAAAATTGCTGAAAATATTGTGATCTGATTTTCCCAAAATTTGGGCTATGCAACTGTAACCCATATTCAAACTTCAGCCAGAAATCATAAAAGAACCCTTTCTGGCCAATTTCTAGGATGGTAAGATACTTAATATTACCTCTAGAGTATTAATAAGGTTATATTATATTTGGGCTGTGTGGCCTATTTTCTAACCTATATACAAACCTGACTTGGAAATCTTCTTCACAAGCTTTCAAATAAATGTCAATATATTTGGGCTTAAAATGTATCCTCTAGAGTGACAAGATTTGTCCATATCTAGACTGTTTGACCTAGTTTTTGACACCAGATGACCTTTCTTCGAAATAGAGTTAAAATCATTCAAACAACCTTTCTGATCTCCCAGTATATTTGGACCGAAACAACCTCCAGAGAGATAAAACGTTTTTCGTATTTGTGCTTTGTGACCTAGTATTGAACCCAAATGACCTTAATTCAAACTTAAACCAGAAATCCAACAACCTTTCTGACCAATTTCTCTAGGACAGTTAGGCTGAAAATGTTACCGCTAGAGTTGCTAACAAGGTTTTTCCATATTTTGAATGTATTACCTGGTTTTTGACCCCATGTGACTTGAATAAGAAATCATCAAAACACTTTACTTTCTGTCTGATTTCTAGGTTATTTTGACCTTAAGAGTGTTAAGAATTTACTATCTTTTCTCTTGTGACCTAGTTTTTCATCTGCTATGGTCTTCAGAGCAATGTTTGGTACAAACAACATGAGTTTGGTGACAATTACGGCAAAAATGTGACAACTAAATGAGGACGGGTAACAGACGACGGACATTCAACAGTCCTAAAAACAGTAGAACACATACAAAAGCTAATTAAACATTGAAGAGCTTGAAGTTAATATGGCGTGTACCCGCCTTTCCGGAACCTCTAGGTTCTAAGAGCTAAGTTCTAAGATCTAAGTTCTAACATTTAACTCAAAACGGCCTCAATTGGTTTCCGTAGTATTGTTTTTCTAGATTAAGAAATGCAGCCGCAGTTCATAAAGTTTTTGACATATTAACAGGCTTGAAAAAGTCAAAATGCGTAAAAATATATTTTGATTAAATGGTGACAAATGTTAAAAAAAAAATATTGCGATACGTATTGCCTGACACTGCATCTCAATGTATCAGTTAATCGCCATATCATTACATCTCATTTTATGTCAACTTTTGTCATAGCAAACAGAAAATATAAATAGAAAGAAAAAGAAATGACTACATAATATCCATAAAGCCATCAATCCACGTTTTGACTTGTTATATTTCCCAAATTATCAGTCTGTATGTTGTCTAGCAACAAGTTTTTGCAATATATGAAGACAAAAAGACATGCATGCACAATCTCTATACTGCCATCTATCCAAATGCAAAGTTTCATTAACATACATGTTCTTTAAGGGTTTTCAGAGGATCAAGTTTTGGCAGAAAGACAGTTAGGACTGACAAAAGGACAAAAGGCAAAGTCTACTCCGGTTTAACCAGTAGAGGACTAATTATGAATAGAACATCTCATTGGATTGCACAATATATTTCAATAACAAGCATGTACTGTGTCAGTAATACAAATATTTAAACAATCTCGAAATATTTAACAAAACAGTAACTTTATTTAATGAATATAAACATACGATGCCGATGCCCCTACTTTCCACTGATTTAGACAGCAAACCAGCAGGACAACTAGCATGATAGATGGACAAACAAAGACAAATCTATACCAAGAAGTGGCGGAATAAATGCATTATAAAATTGCATATCATACAAACAACTGTCATCACAATTAAAACAAGAATTTGTAACAGTGTTACCAACCTCCCCCTTTTAGTGCAACATTTAGATCTGCATATGAAAGTCACAGTAAAGTCATTAGCTTCTGTGTATGTGTCAACAAATATACATTTGTATAGTTGTTATCACTATTTCAAAGCCACAAATGTGACAAATAAAAAATCAATGTTACAGGGTATACTTTGTGTCAAGTCCGTAACTTTTTCACTGACCAATGTATGCCGGCGATTCACCAATGACATTTTTTGCTTTGGCCAGATTTTGCATCATACCCTGTAACAGCCTATTTTAAGCTTTGACATCCAAGTGTGCCTTTGACCTTTGAGGAAGTGTCTGGGTGTTGCGCATGACATGTCGTCTTATTATTGTAAACATATTGTCAAAATCCCTTCATGGATGAAAAAGGTATGAACCAGAAATAAAATATACTCTATTACATACAGGTAGGGGTTTGCGTGTTTTGCACGACACATCGTCTTATTATTGTAAACATTTGTGCCAAGTAATTTGGACTCGACATAAAATATATCTTGTAACAACGTTAAACTTTGACCTCCAAGTGTGACCTTGACCTTGAAGGAAAGCGAATGGTTGGTGCGCATTACATATTGTCTTTTTATTGTGTACATTTGTGTCATGTATTTTGGAAATCCCTTCGTGGATAAATAAGTTGTGGACCGGACACGATGTGGATGACACATCGTCTTATTATAAGAAACATCTGTGCCAAGTTATTTCATTTTTTTTAATAAATGACTTAGTTATGTACCCGACACGAAAGTGTTACGGACGGACGGAACAAGACTATCTCTATCTCCCCACCATTTTCTTCTTCGCAAAGTCTGGGGGCAAGAAGTCAGAAGTATGAAATGAACAAATCATAATTGCTTGAATATTTTCATGAACTACAAAAAAATCATAGAAATAAGTCATCTGTTAATATCGAGTTTTATGTATTCACTAAAGAACATTTGAAAAATATTATACATTTTAGGTAAAACATGGCAGTCCCAGAAAACATGACACAAAAATCTTTAAAAACAGAATGTCAATCTGTACAATTAAGGTCTAGAGAAATTTCACATGAGGGAGTTATCTGTGTAAATACATCACAAGATAACACATCATGCAAGATCACAGGAATGACTCTGCTGACTCCTGAACTTCTAATCATCACTGACTTCAATAACAATGCTGTAAAGATGGTGGATACCAACAGTCAATCTGTGTCTGATCAACTACAACTAGATGGTATACCATGGGATATCACACAAGTAACCAATACTGAAGTTGCTGTCACACTTCCTTACAAACAAGCAATGCAGTTTATATCAATCTCATCAAACAAACTTATCAAGAAGCACACACTGAAGGTCGATGGAGAGTGTAATGGTATTAGCTGCTTCCAAGGTAAACTTATTGTGTCATTTTGTTATCCTGCAAAATTTCAAATTCTTGATATGAACGGCACTATCTTGAAAACAATTGATGGAAAAAATATTTTTCAATTACCCTGGTATATTACATGTAACAAAAGTTCAATCTATGTATCTGACTGGGACATGAAGACAATATCAAGATTAAACTGGCAGGGTGATGTGATGGATAGTTATGGTGATATGAGTCACCCTATGGGAATGTCACTGTCAGATGATGGTACTGTCTTTGTGAGTGACCATGGGAGAAATGTAATAGAAGAGAAATCAGGAGACTGCTCTGAAGGACAGGTTTTGATACACAAACTGACTAAATCATCGGCAGTATGTTGGTGTGGAATTACAAAGAAGCTCTATGCCAGTTGTGATGCTGCAAATGGACGGTGCATTAACTTTCTTCAGATATTTAACCTGCAATAGACTTGAACAGAGACTTATTTAATTAAACAATGTCAGCATTTATTAAATTCATCATTTATTCTTCTTAAAGTGAAAGTATGATGAAAAATTTAGCAAGATATTTTCATGTCAGAACTTTTGTTAGGTAAATCCTTTTGTTATGAGAATAAATGCATCCTTTTCTTGTATTCTTATAAATGTTTTTGTGTGTAACAAGGAAACTACTAGGGTAACACTGAGAATTGACAATGATTACCAATGACTAATGTTTATAAATATTCTATGTTAAGAAGGGACATAAATCCTAAAAATATTGCTTTCATGGCTAATGCCCCATATCTGATAAGGGCAATGATTATCAACGACCGTTGTTTATAAATAGTTGATGTTAAAAAGTTATATAAATCTTAAATATTTTGCTTTCATGGATAATGCCCCATGTCTGATAAGGGCAATGATTATCAATGATCAATTTGTATTAATATTCTATGATAAAAAGGATATTCCTCCTAAATATTTTGCTTTCAGAATGACCCTATTCATGCAACTGTGTATTGTCATGTCAATCAAGTATTGAATTTGCATGTTGATATTTTACATATTTTTAAATTAGCAATTTTGACAAGGGCATATTTCCAAATATGTTGTTTTAAGAATAATGCCTTTCTAATTGATGCCAAGTCTATCAATTGAACCTTGATGACAGGTTGACAACATTATGCAGCTATCGCAATAGTTCGTTTTTTTTCCTTTGTTGTCTTTTCAAAACAGACAAGCTAAAAAACAACAACTTTTGTTACTTCTTTAAACTCACTGTTTACATTTTATGATACATACTTGTCCTGTTTCCAAGATTTTGTACTTTTAGAATTTGTCACACTTATATTTATTCAGATTACATTAATAAAAGTCAGTAACCAATGCTTCTTGTTTAAAAAAACAGTAGAAACATAAAAATACTGTATAGTTTAAAAGTATTAGTGACTGCATAGTTATAGTGGAGACAAATATAATATTGTATGATTAAACATCTGTCTTTGTGTGTGACTGAGATATAAATGTATTTTGTCAAATCATGTTTACTTAAACTTCGAACTAAAAGGGCTTTTGTCACCACAACAAATGTCTCCCACAACTAGCTAGGTATGGTACGATCACTCCTGTGAAGTTTGGTCGAAATCCCGCCAGCAGTTTGACCTATGAAAATTGGACATGATTTTTCTATTGAAAGTTCCGGCGGCCATTTCGTGCAGCGAAGCGGAATGTACCAGCGATATGCACAACTAGGGATGGTTATAACACTCCTGTGAAGTTCCTTCGAAATCCCACGA